CCATTTCTAGTATACTGATGAAAATCTAATTGCTCCTGAAATTTATTGACCCAGCCAGTACCTTTAAAGTCAGGAATATTTAAAGCTATAGCGAAAACCTTAGCTTTAGTAATAAGGGCAGTTTGAGTTAGATCCATATTTGCTACAAGCGTACTTTTGATCCAAATATGCATAGCTTCATCTAATTTGGACCACTTTGGCTGACAGTCACGTATATGATTTGCCTCAGCTTTATTTGTTGTGTCAACATTTAGCTTCTTAAAAGACTGCTTAAGAACGTCAGAAATACACATCCTTTTAACACCATACTTAGCGGCTAGTTCATTATTGAGGATAGATGGAAACTTTAGTTTCTTTTCACAAATCTCCTTTTTTTGTTTAGCGGTTAGGTGTTTTCTTTTAACAGAAAGTGTGTTAACCTTTGTAACCATTTTTTTTTTCTTGTTTTTTTTTTTTTTTCTGTTCTTTTTTTTTTTTCTTTAAGCAAAAAAGATAAAATGTGTTGCGCGTTAAAATCAAAAAAAAAATTTTGAAAAAAACCCCTAAATAAAATCTGCACACACCTAAATTTATACTTCAGAGAGATAGGGCATCTGATTATTGATAATTCAGTAAAATGCGATAGAATCAGAGATAGAGAGAAAAAAAAATATCCAACACCCAACCGAGCTGTTAGAGTTATCACAACTCTAGAGCCGATAGTCCTACTCAAGATTGAGCATAGGAATGTTGTTTTTTTAATTGTTCTCATGAGATAATATTAAAAATTGAGGAACGTGCTTAGAATATAAAGTGAAAAAAGGTAACAAAGAAAGGTAGGCAGAAAAAGGTATCTGAAAAAAGGAGGCAGAAAAAGGCACCTGAAAAAAGGAGGCAGAAAAAGACAACTGAAAAAGGTATGTACCAAAAGGTAACTGAGAAAGGTAAGCGGAAGATGGATGAGATAGAAACTAAAAGATAAAGTATTTGCACTTATAGTCCATATTATGTTACTAATAATGTTTTGAAACGATCAGTTCACGAACAACATTGAGAAAAAAAATTAGAAAGAAAAAAAAAATTAAATGAATTAAAAGATTTTAAAAAAAAAAAAAAAAGTAAATTTAAGAAATAAAAAATCTCAACTTTAAGGCTATACCAGAAAAGGCATCAATACATCATATCATTGTTCTTTATGTACAAAATAGTATTTTCTTATCATTATTGTCTAACTTCAGGGTTGGTGCAAAAAAAAAAGGTATTACAAAGTGAAGATGCCCAAGCGCCATTTTGTATTAATTACTGGTCATGTGTCGAAAATCCGCATCTTGATTGGTTGTTTAGTGGACGCCGTTATATAAGTAGACAAATTTCTAATAAAATTAGTATGTGGGCTGACAGAGATTTCTGTTATACATAATATGGCTTTTTTACTATTAAATTCATTATAATAGTTTAAATTATATATAAAAAATTCTGTACCTTGTAATTAGTCTGTTAAACTGTTGATTCCGGTCTAAAGATGTCCGTTATATCGATAGTTGACAGTAATATATATATATTGAATTAACTTTAGAGTTAGGGTCACCTTATATTATAGTTAGGGTATGGTAACAAAAAGAACTTCCTGATATTTTTTAAATCTACCCAAAACGATCTTCAGAAAAGTAAAGAAATAGGATTGGTAAATAGGAAGAGAAAGAAGAAAAAGAAAAGAAAAAGAGAAGCAAAGATATTTATTGAATCACCCTTAGTATAAGTAATAATGTCGATTTCTACGTATAGATCAAAGGACAGACCAAAAGACAAAGAAGCAAGAGATCTAATCAGTGGATGATCAAGTAATGAATAAGTAAATGTGGTGATCATGTGGATGATGTCACATGAGAGAAAAGATGAAGTGAAGAAACGAACATATATACCTGGCCCTGTATAGTTCTGAAAATAAATCCTAAAGTTTACTTGATCCTCTTGAAAGCTCGAAAGAATCTATAACGCGATGCCGAAAAGAAGAGAAGCTCTTAAAATAAATAAATTAGTAAAGATAGTATAATGACAAGTAAGACCAAGAAAAATACTTATCTTTGCCCGAAATTCTGATGTGAGGTTGAGTAATAATAAAATATATAAAAAAAAAAAAAAAAATTTTTTAGAAAATCCTAAATCAACATTTTAGTTTTTTTTTAGTTTAGAATTGATAGTTTTTTTTAGCAAATTGAAGTTTTTTTTTTAAGTTTATAGTTTTTAGAATTTTAGTTTTAGTTTTTATTAGCATTAGTAATTTAGCAAAGTTTTAGTTTAGTTAAAGTTTAAAGTTTGGTTTTAGCAAGAGAATTTTAATTTAAGTAGGTAGTTGTAGGGTGTAACGATAAAGTCTGGTCTGGTAAGGAATAAGATCTACTCAAAAGTAAAGTTTGGCTATAGGTTAGCCAAGGATAGAATTGTGGTTGTGAGTTTTTGGTTATGGGTTATCCAAGGTATAAAAACCTCTGAGTTTTTGGTTATAGGTTAGCCGAGGTATAAAACCTCTGAATTAAGTTAGTTTTTAGAATTTTAGTTTATAGAATTCTGGTTATGAGTACATTAAGGAACCTAAAACCCTAAATAGAATTAGTTTATTATTTTTTATATAGAGTTTTTAGATAGAATTTTTAAGTCACTAGTTGACTAGCTCAGAGGACCTCACATCTTAAGGAGGAGAGATATATAATATAATGATAAGACTGGCTATAGTAAATATTATGCACTATAACAATCATGTGATCACAATACACATGACGATCATATAATATCGATGGACCTTTTGCCCAACTTGCATATTTATTTATTTATTGTTTATTTATTTAATCGTTACTTTATTATCGTTATGCATAGATCGTTATGTATAGTGTTGTTAGAATAGCAATCAAATACCAAACAGGTTTGTAACAAGGAGAGATTGTAAATAGTTTTAGGGATAATAAGCTAATTATTAAATAGTTAAGTATTAGTAAAACATTTTTTTATAAAAATGTTCTATAAAGACTTGCAAAAAGGTATTTTCCACTGTCCCAAAGTCTCAATAATCTAATAAAAAGCCTCTTCATCTTGAATTTTCTTCAAATAAACCTATCTATTTAGTTATTTGTCTTACAATATAAATAATGAGTTGATTTATTTAAGTTCTTATTTATAACTGCAAATTTTATCTCATTAATAAAATATTTGAAAACCAAAACAATTATATCAGAAACAAATATTCAATATGAGAATTTGCAAACTAAAAATAGTTTTAAAACTGATGATATTGATTAAGCAGAAAGTATAATAACCGAACAAACTAATGAATTAACAAATACTAGTGAAGGAACTGAACTTAGCTCAGTTTTATTTAATTCGCAAGAGGCTTCTTGGGTTGGGAGTATTTTTCAAAAGAATATAATACTAAAAATGAACTTAAATCACTTATTTGTACTATATGCTATCTTAAGTATAAGCCAACCAATACACCAAGAACTCTTGGCAAATATTTATATAACAAATATAGTAATCTAGTTGGTAATCGACAAAGTAATCTTGAAAAATTTATAGGTAAACCATATTTAAAAACAGATCAACAACACTTACAACTTACAGATAAAATTGTAGAATTTATAGTTTGTTGTCAGCTTTCTTTTTCTATTGTTGATAATCCTTATTTTATTACTCTACTAAACATATTTGATGCTCGATATCAAATACCTTGTCAACAAACTATACAAACTAAAGTTTTAAATAAATATAATAATATATGTGAAATCATTTTAAAAGAACTTGAAAAGTCTAAAAAAGTATTAATAATATGTGATATTTGGAGTTCTATTACAATGCAATCATATCTTGATGTTACAGTTTACTTTATTGATAGTAAATAGCAATTACAATATTTTTTACTTGATCTTCTCCCTTTTACTAGACAACATATCGCTATAAATATTTAACAAGCTATTATACAAGTATTAGATCAAGCTAAAATTACTAATAAGTTGTTAGGTATTATAACTGATAATACACAATCTATGATAGCTGCAGGATGAGAGCTTAAGCAAAGTTTAAATAATCATAAATTAGTTCATCAACGATATGCTATGCATATACTTAATATTGCTATACAACATGGATTGCAGTTAGTATTGTCAATTATAACAAAAGTTCGAGATTTTGTAATAAAAATTCGAAATTTAACAAAACTTAGTGATTCTTTAAAAAAAATTTACCAACAAGAAAATGTGGCTAAATTAAAACTATACACATGCTAATGAAATTATTTTAGGTTTTGGGGTATGAAATTAAAATTTGAAAACGAAATTGTTTTTGATCTATTTTACTTAAAAGATGAAATTTTTTGATACTTTTTTTGAAGAGACAAAATTATAAGGAATATAACTACCTAAATTAAATTTGCTCTTGCATATAAAAAATTTTAAATTGCTTTAATAAAGATGAAATAAGGTTTTTTTGAAAACCTATTTTGGTGGCATGTATAATTAAAACCCGATTTAGATGTAGAAACAAGATAGAATAGCACCTATATAATGTTAAAAAAAATTCTTCAAATACGAGACATGTTAGATATTCTTGTTGTTAAAAATAGAGATCTTTTTTCTTTATACTTACAGGATAATGACTGGCTAGTAGTTAATATTATGATTCAATTACTTGAACCAATCTTCATAGCAACTGAAATCTTATCAATCTTAATGTATCCTACTATAAGTGACATAAGACTAACTATAATTAGTTTGTTGTGATATTTAGATTTATTTATTCAAACTCATACTAACACTAATGTAGATGAGTATATAGTAGCTAATTCAATTAGCTTTAAACTTTGAGAATATTGGGAACATATCAATAAGTCAACAACAATTGGTACTTTACTAGATCCACAATCAAAAACTAAAACTTTTATAGATATGAATCAGCGTGAAAATGCTATAACACTTTTGCATAACCGAATAGAATTATATAAGAACAATACTGATATACAATCTGTTCATAATTTACAAACAAAAAAAAATAAATGATCATTTTTTGAATCTTTAATTTTAGAATAAGATTCTGTACAAGCACCTATTGAGGATGAAATTGTCTGATATCTTGCTTTGCCAGTTAATTCTACTACAAATCTATTAGATTAGTGACATCATTTTGGTGAAGATTTTCCAACTTTAGCAAGAATAGCATCATGTTATTTAAGCATACAGGGTTTAAGTATATCTTCAGAACAGGCATTCTCTATAGCTACAAATATGATAACCAAAATTTGATGCAATTTAAAACCAGATACTGCACGTGCAGCTATGTGTCTTAAAAGTTGGATTCAGCAAGTACATGATAAAAAAAAAAAAGAAATTAATATAGAAAAATTTTTTCTTTTGGAATTATAACTTTAAACTATTAAATTTTGTTTGAATTTTTTTTTTTTTGTAATAAAACTTTATTTTTAAAAAAAGAAAGTTTTTTTTTAAAAAAAAAAATTTAAATATTAGGCTATACAAATTTAATTTATTGGTTCTTATAATATGAAGCCTTTAAAAAGATCTGACCAGTTAGCTTTTTTTTTTAATTTGATATATAACAACTTATAAATTTTTTTTTAAAAGCTCACCTGGTATTCAAAATTTGACCTGGCCAGGTTACAAGAACTAATTAACTTTGCATAACCTTATATTAGTATATTTAGTGTATTCTATTTTTATTATCATCAAATTGAAATTAGAAATAGGTCAAAAAATATTTTAATCAATATTTGTTATATGTGATCTGATTTATGATTATGTACTAAATAACAATTTCTTTAGATTTTAAATATTTATTATCTCTTATCATATAAAAAAAGATGTATATTATATGAATATGCAATGTAGTTGTATAGAATAGCATATATAAAAAATTAAATTGTGTAATAATGATTCCATGTTTTCAATTATAGTAATATGAAAATTATTAATCAAAAAATTTATTATCAGAATATTGTTAAATTTTAATTTCAACTAATACTTAAAATTAAAAATTCAGTAAATGAAAGCTTATTTCGATACTTAAAATTTTGAATTGATAATCAAATAATTATTCATTCTACTGCTACTTTCTACTGTAATTATAATAATTAAATAATCAAATGAGTACTATTATCTAGTTATAGCTAGTATTACTTGAAAACTTCTGTATTCTAATGTATTGCATTATTGCTATTCTTAATTTAGTATATACTAGTACAGATAACAATTCAAATTAGAAGTTCAAGTTTGTTTAAAGAAAAGTATTGTATTATAACTACAAGATATAGAAATACATATACGCATATACAAGTTTGATAAGCTATAAAATTAGAATATGGTGATTGATCAAAATTTTTTTAATTTTCATATGCTTCTTGGTTATTTTTTTATATATCGTGAATAATAAATTCTTTGTAACTTTGAATTAGATATTTATCCTGTCACCAGAATAGAAATATATACTATGTGCATTTGAAGTCTAAAACATATTGGCAATCCAAAAAAAAAGCACTATTGTTAAATTTTTTTTAAGCAGAAGTCTGTATAAATTTGATCACAGTTTTTAAAATATAGGGATTGTATATTTGGAATGTTTGTTTTAAAGTTTCTAGCATTAAAATAAAATAGTAATTTTTTGGATTGGATAGAAATTTATTAAAAATTCATTGTTTAATATATTTGATATGTAAATATAAAGTAGTACAGCTCAGTTTAGCTGATAGAGCTAGCTATTTGTATCATTAGTAATGCAGATAGGTGCATATTAATTCAGAACATGCATGGCACTAATTTAAGATTCTTTGGGATCTGAATTTCAAAATAACGCCACTAAGCATTATTTCACTATTACAAAAAATATGTATATTAAATATTATACATATACAAATTTTAATTGATATCATTTTACGAAATATCATTAATACAACCTTAATACACTGTCTCTATAGAAATAAGCATTAAAATTAGTGAAGAGTAAAAAATGATTTTATCTTTTAATAATAAGTATAAATAATATATCAAGAATTTAAAGATATATAAAGAGTCTTTTGCTATGCAATAGTAGTTGTTACTTGTACTATATTTTAGTTATTATTGCTTAACCTAATTGTACTATACTTTATTTAAGTAAAATATTATAAATCGTAAATACATACATTTGATCTTGCGTCTTATTCACTTTCAATATACATAAATTATAGAAGAAGACAATTTGCTATCTCCTTTATTGGTCTAGTTAAATGAAAATGAAACATCTGAAAAATTAGATCGCAACAATGGATCAAAAAAACAAAACTAGATGTAGAAATATTTTGAAAATCTAATCATAATAATATTAGCATTTGTAATATATTAAATAATTTGAGTAAAAAATGTAACACATAATTAAAAATTACAGGAGAATCAACTTCGAGCTTAATGTTTCATTTATAAAAATATCACAGTATTACACAAAATGAAACTACATTTCATAAACCAGATAATGTATAAGTTGTTTTGTATATTAATTCATTATAGTTGACATAATTCAGAGTAAATGAATTAGAATAAGCTAAAGATATGTGATGATATATTTTAGTGTTTATATTTTTTGTGTATTATATGTACATCTATATTTCACAGTGCGTAAGTGAATATTATTATGATCTTTTTTTTTTAAAAAAAAAGTAATATGATAAAATTTATTGTAATTAAGCAAAGTTGATAGTTTATATATAGTTTCTAAATAAATGTGATATATTTGAATTTAATTTTCTTCAGAACTATATCCAGATATTTTTGGAAAAAGTTTTTAAATTAATACAATACCAAACTAAAAATTTAAAACCTTGCAATTATAAAGAATCTATTTCACAATTGACTATATTGATATAACTCATATGCATATATATATGTCGTGCCTCAGATTAAAACTTGCGTCAGATTAAAACCAGCCTAAATTAGAGTTAAAGTTAGGGTAAGTATTGGGATTTAGCTAGGCCGATTTTGCAGATCATTTTAATGCTGGCCTAATAGTTTTAATCTGACGCAAATATCAATCTGAGACACAACATATATATGCATATTCTAGTATACTCGACTTAATAATAGTTGCATTGTACTACAGTAGTAGTATGATCTTGAAGGTAGTATGTTCTTTATAACATAAGCAAAATGTTGCAGGTAGTGACTATCTCAAAAATATCTGTATCTTTAGTTAAAAGTACTTGAGAACTGACTTATCATATTTTATAATAAATAAGCACTCCTGTAAATAAAACTGAGTACTGATGCAAATTTATTACTATAGTTTAATTAGTGGAGCATTAACTGTGAGTATTAATTTGTGCATTACCTAAAGTATTAACTTGGAGAATTAATCTAGAGAATTATAGCTGTTTTCATAATTTCTAAAATATCTGATAACGAATGATTTTTGGCTATTTTAGTAAAATTAGTGATTTCAGCATGAACATTATATAAAAGATAATATTTTATATTTTATGTAATATCATATTTGTTCAGCAAATAACTTTATCATCATAATATTGACATATTATACATTATCAAACTTTTGTTTAAATACTTGTCCAAAATGTTTAATGTGTTTAGTTTGTGTGAAACTTTATAGAAAAGGCAGTTCTTGTCACCTAATAAATATTGACAAGAAATATAAAAAAAGAACTAGATATAAAATAACTTTAATTATAAACATATTACATGAATAGATTTAATATTAAAAAATTAAATATAATCAAGAATTTGTTATCATATTTTATATCGTTCATGTTTAGTAAATGTGGTTTTTCTAAAAGTGACAAAGTTTTTTAATACATCCATATCTTTGAAAGTGCTTGAGAACCTGACTTATAGAATATATGCTAATACCTAGATGCTTGAAATTTTTTGAAATAATAAGTCTTCGAATTTCAATATATATATATTAATTATTATATATTAATTATGCCAAAATTACATAATCATATCAGCCAAAAAGTCATTCAGATAATTTTTATCAGGTATTTTAGTAACCCAGAGTATTAACCCAAAGTATAACCCGGAGTATAACCTAGAGTACTAACCTGGAGTATAATTCAGAGTATAACTCGAAGTGTAACCCAGAATATAACCCGAAGTATAACCCAGAGTATAACCTGAAGTACTAACCTAAAGTACTAACCTGAAGTACTAACCCAGAGTATAACCCAGAGTATAACCTGAAGTATAACCCGGAGTACTAACCTGGAGTATAACCTGGAATATAACCCAGAATACTAACCCGGAGTACTAACTCAGAGTACTAACCCAGAGTATAACTCAGAGCGTAACCTAGAGCGTAACCCAGAGCATAACCCAGAGTATAATCTGAAATGTAACCCAGTGTATAACCTAAAGTATAACCCAGAGTATAACCCAGAGTATTAATCTGGAATACAACCTGGAATACAACCTGGAATATAATCTGAAGCATTGATTTGAAATATAACCCAGGTTGGGTTGGAGTAAGGTTTGCTCTATTTAATTTTAACCCAACTCAACCCACTCCACTCCATTAACAACCCTATGTATTGGCTCTATAAAGCCTCATGTAATTTTTTTTTTATATTATCTTGATTTTTTATTATACAAATCAACTTTCGTTTATAATTGAAAATTGTCAATCATGTTAAAATTTATATAAATCTAATAAAAACTCATTTTTTAAAAAAATGTAAAAATGAGCTATTTTTATTGTCTGTACCCCATATAATCTCATCTAAAAGAATTGCTCCAAACTCTCAGAAAATTGAAGCTATTCAACAAATTTCACTTTCTAAGAATATAATTCAGTTATGATCTTTTCTAGAACTAGTAAGATACTATTATTAATTTATTTGTAACTTCTTTGCTATCACAAAGCCCTTGAATCAGCTACTCCAAAAAGATGAATCTTATAAATAAACTAAAGCTTAACAAGACTCTTTTATTAAGCTAAAGCAAAGACTTGTTAATGCTTCTATTCTTAGCTATCTGAACTTCAAGAAAATATTTATTCTAGCAACCAA